CGTCTTCGTGACGTCTGGGTGTCCCCTGTCCCCCCTCATCTCCCTTCCAAGTGTGTGAGTGTGGCGGTCTTCTGAGCTTTAGAGCCGACTCACGGAGCACTGGACCAAGCCCAGTGCCATTGCGGCCCGTGGTTCTCAGGCCTCAGCCAGCGGCAGCTACAACTCTGCCATTAGTAAGGCTTTCATTTGCCGGCAGGGCAGTATCGACTCTGGGGGTCCCTAGCTGTGTGTTTATTTTTCCTTTTCTTTACAATTTAGCACATTAAGAATAATAACTGGGTAGCTGAGACTCGGAGAGATGCTTCTAAGAGCCGCATTAACGCCCTCCCTGCCCGAGAGTTCACGCGCAGCCTGCTCCTTAATGGGCTGCGAAGCCTGCGGCCTTTCAGAGCCCCTTGACGCTGAGAAGGAAGCGGGTGCCCCTCACCCCCAAGAAGAAAGCCACACTGATCAATGAAGCTGGCACCGTGGCTTCGCGTCACCCCTGAAAAGCTTGCTTCTGGTCATCCATCTTCCCAAACAGCTGAGTGTCAATAAGACTGGCTCGTGTGCTCCATTAATAATGGGGGTCATAGTCACAGCTCTGCCTCTCCTGCGTTCCTTGCTGCTGCCTGAGAGCCTCCAGGGGAGCCCAGATAAGGCCCTTTGCCTGTGACATTTCACAGGGTCTTTGTGACTTGCCTGCCCAGGGACCGCGCCTGAGGCAAATGCTCTATTTGGCATTTGTAGGCTCCATCCTGACATCTGTATAAGTTACGATAGGAAGGCCTCACCACACTGTCCTGACAGAGCTCAGCTGGGGCAGAGGCCAGCTGACAACCCCGGGGGCACAGGCATGGAGTGGAGGCCACCCCTGCCTTACAGTCACCCGTCCTGGCATCCTGCTGCAGACTGGCACAGGCCTCCCCAAAGCCTTGGTCTTTTGCCTTGAGATAGGATGGTGCTGCCCGTTCTCGGCCATGCCTTCTGGGACCCCCGTCCAGGTTTGGATCTCTTTGTCCCGCCCTCCCTGGGCGTGGCCTGGGACGGTCAGCCACCAGCAGGCTTTGAGACCCTCTTGCCCTCCATCAGTTTTTGTTTATTTTACTTTTGTTTTGTCACGATGCTGGGATTGGGGTGGACTTGGCCTGGGCACTGTCCCGAGCTTTTTTGCTCAAGGCTGATGATGCTCTAACCACTTGAGCCACAGCTTCACTCCCAGCTGTTTGGTGGTAATTGGAGATGAGAGTCTCACAGATTCCTGCCCAGGCTGGCTTCAATCCAGGATGAGGATCACCAGTAGCTGGGATTATAGGTGTGAGCCAGCAGCACCCTGCTTGTCCTGCAGTTTTTGCTTTTGTTTTTGTTGTTTGTGAGGCTTGAACTCAGGGCCTGGGCACTGTCCCTGAGCTCTTTGCTCAAGATGACTGCCTCTACCATTTGAGCCACAGCTCTACTTCCGGTTTCCTGGAAGTTAATTGGAGATAGCAGTCTCATGGACTTTCCTGCCCAGGCTGGCTTCTAACCTCCTGAATAGCTAAGATTACCGGCGTGAGCTGTTGGACAGTTGGTGGTTTGACTCTAAATGCCATCTTCCTAGAAACCCAGGGAAGAATGGAGCATTGGGAGTCCTGCTTCTTGTCTCCTTTTGTTTTTGCCCGTACCAGAGTTTGAACTCAGGGCCTCAGACTTGATCGTTGAGTCATTCCTCTAGCTCAGCTTTTGGCCGTTAGTTGGCAGTGGGTTCACTGGGACTTTTCTGCTGGGCTGGCTTTGATCCTCTGGGTCTCAGTCTCCCCGGGAGCTAGCGTTCCAGGTGTGAGCCCCGGCGCACAGCCCTACCCAGGCCACATCACCTTTATCCTTCATTCTGTGCACGTCTGCGCCACAGCAGCCTGGACACCTGCAAAGCCTACTCCCTCAGAGGACTCAGTGCTGGAAAGTGCTGAGGACTCGTTCCCTCCACCCTCACCCCTGCCGTGTCCCCTCCACCCTCACCCCTGCCATGTCCCCCTCCTCCCCTCCATC